CAGTTGAACTTCGTCATGCCGTGCGGTCGGATTCCAATTTTCGTGAAATATGATCAGTGGAATACGATCCCTTCTCGTCGCCACGCATTGTATTGTGAGATATCCTTGGTGGTATCCAAGTAAGACACATAATAACTAAGGTATAAGTTTAATAAAACAACAACACATAACATAACAATAACATGCTTACAGCACGTAATAAGGTTAGCAATGAACATCTATTAGGAATTGGTATATATACTCTCTAGAAAGGTAAGGCAGCGCCGCTATTCAGAAACTACAGGCTGTCGTCGTTGACTCGTAGTGATGACGGAAGGTGACGTCGGTTGACATGACAACACTGAAAAATTAGCATTCGCTACTCACAATGGTCTATTTGAATACTTAAGATTGCCTTTTGGCTGGAAGAATGCACCAAGCGTCTTTCAACGTACAATTCATAGAATTTTAAATAAACATAAAATTAAATTTGCTACAAACTGTATTTTGATGATATCATTATATTTTCTAATTCTTGTGATGAACATTTAACCCATCTTAAAAAGGTTTTTGACATTTGCAAACAAGAAAACTAGAAATTAAAACTTTCACAATGTTCATTTTTGCAAAAACAAATAGAATTTTTAGGATATGAAATAAGCAATGGGATTGTATCACTCGATAACCATAATATCGAAGTGATTAAAAAATTAATGCCCCCTAAAAATGTGAAATCATTGCGAAGATTTCTTGGATCAATAAATGTTTACAATAAATTTATTGATAGTTATGCAAATATTCGACATCCTTTAAATAACTTGTTAAAGAAAGATGTAAAATGGGTGTGGTCAGAAAAGTGTCAACAATCTTTTGAACTTTTAAAAAATGCTATTATTTGTAAACCAATTTTGAAAATTTTTAATCCTAATCATGAATGTCATCGTTTTGTTGATGCATCGTTAGTTGGAATTGGCGCTGTGTTAAAACAGACAGATGAACGTGGTGTATTGCATCCTGTAGCTTTTCATTCTCGTTTCTTAAGGGACTAAGAAAAAAACTATGCAATTACAGAACTTTAATGTCTTGCTATAGTAGATTCTTTAAATAAATTCCATCATTACCTGTTTTGCCAAAAATTCACCATACACACTGACCATGCTGCTTTAGTTTGGCTAAAAAATTTCAGAAATTTAAAAGGTAGATTATTTAGATGGTCATTATTGTTCAGTATGTATGAATATGATATTAAATACACAAAAGGTTCTACTAATTTTGAAGTTGATTGGCTTTCGAGAGATGCAACATATTCACTTGTCAAAATCAATAGTAAAAATAATAATGTTCATGTATCACATTTGTCAAAATTGAGTGAAATAAGTGAAGCTCAAAGGAATTATAACTTACAAGGTAATTTTACTGATATTAACCTATGTTTTATGTGTACGTGAGAAAAATTTTACTTAAATAGTTGTTCCATTTTCGTTGATATTAAAACTACAGCAAATTGCTCAGGAGAAATTTAATCATCCAGGAATACAAAAAATTATTAACTTAATAACCCCGTTTTTTTATTGGAATAACATAACCTCAGATATAACAAAATTTTTGTAAGCATTGTCATTCGCGCCAATTAAATAAATACCGCGACGAAAAGGATTTGGATTATTACAATCCTTACCCCCTGTTAATCAGTCTTTTGACTTACTAGCAATAGATAGTGTTGGTGGATTAAATTACTATAATTCAACAAAAAAATATTTAACTTTAATTATTGACCACCTCACAAGATACATTTGGGCTTTTGTGTCAAAATCCATTAGTTCAGAAACTTATACTAATTTTTTACATCAAATTTTTCAAAATCAAATTCCTAAATCTTTGTTGAGTGATCGAAACGCTGCCTTTACTTCTTCTCATTTTAAAAAGTTTTCGAAACATAATAAAATTCAACAATTATTGACAACAGCATATCATCCGCCGTCTAATGGCAAGGCCTTGGTCAAACAATAATTACGCGTTTAAAATGTAAAATTAATGAAAAACCTACTAAAACTCCCTGGCCTACTTTGTTAAAAGATATAGTTAATACTCATAACTTAACTCCCCATTCTGTAACAAAATTTCCACCTGCATACCTCGTGCATGGAAGACTCCCCTATGAAAATCTCTTAAAGGAAGAAATCTATCCACCTGTTGAGGAAGCTAAAAAAATAGCAATTCAAAGAAGTAAAGAATACCATGAAAGAATAAAATTTATTATGATGTTAGATTTTTAGATATAGACTTTAAAAATGATGAATTAGTTATGTTTGAAGAATTTACTTATCCTAATACGAGGAAGTTGTCACCTTCTTTTAGTGGACCGTATAAAATTCTTCAATAAATTTCAGAAGCTAATTACAAAATAAATAAAAAAGAATAATTTAGGTGAACAAAATTTTGAAATAGTACATGTATCAAAGCTTAGGAAATATAACAGCCCACAAATGTTGAAATTAAGTCATGAATAGTGTCCAAAGGAAAAGAATTTTTTTTTTTACTTTCTTCAATGGAAGAAGTAAACCCTATAGTTTTGAGAGATCCAAATCGCGTGTGGAGATGTTTACCTCAGCATCATTTGGATGTGAGGGCGATGAAAGGTGAGAAAAATTTCATAAACTATTTTTGTATATGTCCAATCTGGATCTCTCAATATCACTGTGCTTCATGAAATTCTGTTTCCCTCCATTTTAACGGGGAATACAGATTTTCATAAAGTAAATAACCCTTTTAACCACGCAGAAACTAAAATTCTGATTAAATGACACTTGTTGTCCAGTTCGTTCGCATAAAAAATGTGTACATTTTTGTGTGAGGAAATTTTTTGTGAAAATTTTAGTAGAATAGTTATATAAATATGTTTCATTTTTCTTTCTGTTTAGTTGACTAAACAGATCAATTACATTATCATGTTTTCATTTTTGTCATTGTAAATAATTGTTTTTTTTTACACATAATTGAAAAAATGTTATTTGTAGTAGGGAAAAGGAACAGTCGTACCAACCTAAATTTTAAAAATTTAAAGTAGTTCAAATTTTTTATTTTGGCTTACCAAAATTTCTTTTTTTTTTGGGGGGGGGGATGTAATACAAAAATTATAAATACTTTTGTATTAATAAAAGTACTAAAACTCTTTTCATAAAATGTCTTTGGTAAAGAATAGGTGTAGAGATATTCTATTTTGGAACTTCAAGGCTGAAAACATACCAATGAATAATAATTAGATTTATATTTCAAAGGAGTTACTTTCGGAATCTTTTCCTCTTTCACTTCCATATTAGGAAGCATTAAATGATTTTCCTTAATGCGTAGGGTTACAAGGTATGCGACGATTGAGCCTTTTCACTCATTTTCTGTTAGTACTTAATACAGGAGCGATTGTTTTTGCGTGACTCTTGCTGTGTGATGTATTTCATGTAAGAAGTGCCGGAACTATCCGGAGTTTCGTCCATCCCCTCCCTTGTGGAGAGTGGATGTGAAACGTTATAGCTACCAGCCTATCCGTAAATAAAACTAATGAAGGAATAATTGGTTCACGACTGAATTATTTGAGCTAAACATAACCTATGATANTATATATATTGATTGAACAGGATAGTTTCAGCCCCAAGTCACTCTCCACTTTCATTTATTCCAATATTAAGTCTTCAACAAAACTGTTGAACTGAATATCCTTGGTGTTGTATTCCAAGTAAGAAACATAATAACTAAAAATATATATTTAATAAACTAACAAAACATAACAAATAGCATGCTAGGAGCAAGTAACAAAGATTAGCGAATGAAAATCTATTTGTAACGTGTTTATATACTCTCTGGAAAGGTAAGGCAGCACCGCTGTTCAGAGACTGCAGGCTGTCGTCATTGACGCGTAGTGATGACAGAAGGTGACGTCGGCTGTCATCACAACATCTCTTTGTCCTAAGATAGAACAAAGTCCTTGAACCTGCTTGGCCTAACGATGCTATGTCTGGGCCTCAAAGTTCTTGAAGTCTGTTCTGGAACTAAAGACTCTTGTTTTGGTATTGTAGGCTCAACCACTGCACTCTGAGAATCCGCACTAGCAGGAATGGAAGATGGTACTTCAGTCTCAAAACTCGGTGCTGGTGGAGATGCTACACTAGGATCAAACGGAATAGTCAACCGATCAGGAATACGCTTCCACATTTGATCTACGTGACGTTTAACTATCTCGCCTCCTGTTGTCACAGCTTGGTAAGAATCTGGATCCGTGGGTTTAATTACCGTTGCTGAAAACCACTTTGGACCCTGTCCATAGCTCCTCACAAAGACTGGATCGTCGGCACTGAACGATCTTGGAAGAAAATCGCCATTTTTTTCTATACGCATCTTGCTCCTGTCTCAACTTCCTCTCTGCCGCCAGATCTGGATAGAGTCTACTAAGACGGTTCTCAGCTTCCTCCCCATTAACAGTTCTGCAGGACTAGCACTTATTGTTGTGGCGGGAGTGCAATGTTGTTGAAGAAGGAACTGGGCTAGACGTTTCTTGCAATTTCCCTTCTATACGTCTCAGGGAATCTTTCACGCTCTGGACTGTTCTTTCAGCTTGACCATTTCCGGACGGACGTCTTGGTGCGATCATAACCCTTCTGACGAGATTCCTCTCTAAGAAAGTCTGGTACTCCGATGCTCGAAACTGGCCTCCGTTATCGGAAACGATGACTTCAGGTATCCCATGGGTAGCAAAGATTTCACGTACGACGTCGACTGTTGCAGAAGTAGACGTAGAAGTCATATGACGAACTTCGATCCACTTCGACATGGCATCTACAAGGATGAAGAATTCTTGTTCCTGAAACGGACCAGCGAAATCTATATGAAGACGGGACCAAGGTTTCTCCGGAATCTTTCAAGGATGCACTGGAGCATTCGGAGGGGCATGACGCGTCTGTTGACATTCCTGGCATCTTTGAACGCGCACTTCTATGTCATAGTCCCTGTCTAGCCACCACACGTATGAACGTGAGAGAGCTTTCATTCTTTCAATTTCTGGATGTCCCAGATGTAGAGCCTGGAGAACACGTGATTGTCCCAACACTGGAATAGCTACTCTATTACCCCATAATAGGCAATTTCGATGGGTAGAAAGTTCGTTACGTTTCGAGAAAAAAGTCTGAAATTTTTTATCCGGTTTTTCATTTGGCCATCCTCTAGAACCCAATTTAGTACTCTTGACAAAATTGGATCGCGCAATGCTAATTTTGCAATCTCTGCTGTCTGAAGTGGAGGATCTTGTAAATCCTCGGTAAACAATACCTCTAAAAGAAGCAGGAACCTCAAATTTATCAGTCTCTTTTGGAAGTCTACTTAAAGAATCTGCATTTTGAATTTTTTTTCCTGGTCTATGAATTAGAGTATAATCATATGCATTAAGTACTAAAGACCATCTCAGCATACGAGGAGACAAAATTTCTTTAGTAGGCTTATTTTTTGAAAAAATTCCTAACATAGTCTGATAATCAGTTATAATAGTGAATTTATGTCCATAAAAAAAATGGTGAAATTTTTTTGTATCGAACACAATTGCCATCTCCTCTTTGTTGATTTGCGCATAGTTACTTTCAGTCGACGTGAGCGTACGCGATGCGAAAGCTATTGGTGCTTCTCAACCATTGTCAAGAACATGACTTAAGACAGCTCCTACGCCAAACGGAGATGCATCGCAAACTAAAGTTACCGGTAATTTTTCATCGAACGGAACCAATACCGCTTCGGAACTTAACAATTCTTTTAAATATCAAAAAGCTTCATCGTGGACTTGACACTATTTCCACACTGAATCCCTATCTAACAGCCTATGTAATATTTCAGCTTTAGTAGCTTTGTCCTTTAGAAACTATTATAAAAGTTTATCAAACCCAAAAACGCCTGTAACTGGACCTTATTTTTAGGTACCGGAAAAGCATGAATCGCTTCTACTTTGCTTTTGGAGGGGTGGATGCCCTTCGCATCGATACGGTAGCCCAAAAACTCTACTTCCGCTACCCCAAATAAGCATTTGTTCGCATTTGCTTTAAGTCCCGCTTTTCTCAAACGCTCTAGTACTTGTTCCATGCGAGCGGCTAACTCTTCCTCTGACAAGTACATCATCAAAATAAGGAACAACGCCTTCTAAATTTTGAAACAAATCTTCGATTAAATTTTGAAATATTCCTGGGGCTACGTTAATTCGGAATTGAAGCCTTTTTACCTTAAACGCACCGTTATGCGTGATGATAGTCTAAGCTTCAGCGGAAGCATCATCAACCAGTAATTGTAAATATGCCTGAGCCAAATATATCTTAGCATAATAACCTCCTCCCTTAAGCTTTGAACGAAGATGACTTACAGTGGGAATTGGATAAAGATCTCATTGCTTTGTTTAACTAACGTGATTTGATAATCTCCGCACAAACGTACTTCACCTGACGGTTTAAGCACTGGAACAACCGGTGTTGACCATTTTGGATTAGAAATTTCTTCAAAAACTCCTTCACTTTGAAGTTTTGTTAGGGCAGCTTCAATTTTGGGCCTCATTGCCAAAGGAACGCTTCTTGCTTTATATCTAACAGGAGCGATATCCGAATTTATAGGAAGCGATACTGGATTACCCGTATACGAACCCAATTTATTATCAAAAATATCATCGTATTTTTTAAGAACTTTTTCGATAATTCCCGGTCTAATTTCGTGTACTCCTGTTATTCAAAATTCCTCAAGGTTCAAACCAAGAATACCCCAAAATATTCGTACAGTGATTATTTGAAATTAACAGTTTTAACTTTGCTTTGGAAAGGTTACGCACAACTTCAACTTTACATACGCTAGCTAGTGAAATCCCATTTTTAGAAAAATCGCGCAGTCTAATGAAATTTTTTTCGATCACGGGTTTCTTAGAACAGAAAACTTTATTCAACGTTTGCAATGAAATAATTGAATAATAGGAACTCGAATCAATTTCCACTTCTAATTTTTCCTTATCAACCTCAATGATAACGTTTCTCTTAAACGGAGATTGAGAACTTATGACATTTAAATATTCGGGTTGAACTTCAATTTCATTTGCACGCTGTTTTTCAAATTCATTTTTCTTCCGACAAAATTTTATAATGTGATCCTTAAGACCACACGAATGGAGTATTGCATTTTTGAATTTACACGTTGAACGTTCATGTTTACCACTGCAACAGAAACACACTTTAGAATTTGCTACTACCTGAAACATTAGAATTTTGTTTACTAAATCGCGCATTATTCCTTTTGTTCCAACCACGTACGAAATCAACCGCATCCGAATTCTCAGAATAAAAAGAATTTTGGATATGAATATGCCTTAATTGGGAAGCCGCAACCTCAACAGAAATTGCATTTTCAAGTGTTAATTTGGGTTCATCCAATAATCTTCTTTGAACCTCTTCATCACGAATACCGCAGACTAATTGATCTCGCAATCATTCTGACAAAGTTTCCCCGAAATTACAATCTTCGGCAAGCTTTCTTAATTCGGTAACGTAAGCATTCACGGATTCTAATTTTGACTGAAATCTTTTATAAAACTTGAAACGTCGAAATATTACTGAAGATTTAGGACAAAGATGTTCTTTCAAAAGCCTAATTAAATCTTGAAATTTAAATGCTGTAACTTCTTTTGGCGAAACTAAAGTTCGAATTATAGACAATGTTTTAATTCCACAAACAGCTAAAAGAGTCGCGCGCTTTTAATGAACATCTATAATAGAATTAGCCTCCAAAAAGTAAGTAATTTTATCAGCATATAACTCGAATGAATTTGGATTTGAAGTATCAAATTCCTGAATAGAGCCTACCGTCGCCATCTGAGTGCGAAATTTAGCTTAAGCAGAGAAAATATTGCAAATAGAAAAAACGCATTTAAACATTTAAAACGCCTACCGGAAGCATAAAATAATACCGGTATTGGATCACGTCAACAACTCATGGCCAGCAATCTTTAAGAAATTGCATTTTCAAGGAAATCCAATTGAAGTTGAACTTCTTCGTGCCGTGGAGTAAGATCAATGGAATAAGATCCCATTAGTCGTCGCCACGTGTTGAACTGTGAGTATCCTTGGTGTTGTATTCCAAGTAAGAAACATAATAACTTAGAATATATATTTAATAAACCAACAAAACATAACAAAAAACATGCTAGCAGCAAGTAACAAAGATTAGCGAATGAACATCTATTAGTAAAGTGTCTATTATATACTCTCTGGAAAGGTAAGGCAGCGCCGCTGTTCAGAAACTACAGGCCGTCGTCATTGATTCGTAGTGATGACGGAAGGTGACGTCGACTGTCATCACAACAAAAACTAATGGTGAAAAGCTCGCTCACATTGATAAGTAGTCAATAACCCACCTCAAGTGGTTCACTGGTTGAAACCTCCAGTCCATGAATAACTGCCAGTGGTAAATCTTAGGGAGACATGAAAGCAGCACAGAGATGCGAGTTTGAAAGCTGTTGTTTGTTAATTTACGTCGCACTAGAGCTGCACAATGGGCTATTGGCGACGGTCTGGGAAACATTAAAACTTTTTTTCCGAAGACATGC